TCCAGCCCCTGCGGGTGGAGCGGCCGGAGGCGGAGGAGGTGCCGGAGCAGCCAAAAGAGGACGCGGTACGTCCTGGCCTGCCGGGGCTGAGCCGTGGTGCTGGAGAGAGCCCCAGACGGCTCTGCTGTATGTCGGTTAGGGTTAGGCTGCTTGCCCCCGGGGTTTCAGGGGTTCTGTTGTCCTTCTCCCCGCAGATTGACTGGGGAGACTTCACACTGGAGCCAACCAGGGCAGATGATGGTGGGAGCAGCCAAAAGAGGACGCGGTACGTCCTGGCCTGCCGGGGCTGAGCCGTGGTGCTGGAGAGAGCCCCAGACGGCTCTGCTGTATGTCGGTTAGGGTTAGGCTGCTTGCCCCCGGGGTTTCAGGGGTTCTGTTGTCCTTCTCCCCGCAGATTGACTGGGGAGACTTCACACTGGAGCCAACCAGGGCAGATGATGGTGCCTCTGCTGACGGGGGGGCCCAGGGTGAGGAGATCGACTGGGGGATCACGCTAGAGCCCAGTCCCCAGGTGTGTGGCCCCTGGCTGTATGGTCCTGGGGCCTGGCCCTGCTCCGGGGCCGGGCTGGGCACCCGGGGGTGTCCCAGGCACCCCCATCTCACAGGGTGCCCTTTCTTTTGCAGCAGGATGATGGCATTGACTGGGGAGATGGTGAAAGCGAGGAGGTACAGATCACGGTGCTGGAGGCTGGCACAGAGGGTGAGTACGGCTGCAAAGGGACACAGGGGGTCCCAGCAGGTGACAGGCAGCACCCACCCTGCCTTTACTTCCCCTTCCCTGCCTGCAGTGACCCTGGTCGTCCTATCTGTGCACAAAGGCCTGTTGGGGACAGAGCAGAAGGCAGCGCGGTGCTGGGCAGGTGCTGGGTGGGCAGGAGCAGGGCCTTGACCCCGCTAAACAGTGCCGTGGGGTGATGCTGAGCACCCTGTATGGGATGAGTTGGGGTGGGGGCTATGACCAGATCGTCTGAGCTGTGGAGGTTTCTTCCCTGCCCTGCTCACCCCTGGCTCGTCCCCCAGTGCCCGAGGGCGTTGCCTGTGGCTCTGATGCCCTGACACTCCTGGAAAACACCGAGACCCGGAGCCAGTTCATCGATGAGCTCATGGAGGTGGGTACAATGCTCAGCCAGGGCTGGAGCCGGGGAAGGGGCAGCTCCGCTGCCATCTCACTGCAGGCATGGCAGTA